TCTTCCGATCTAGCAGTTCAAACCAGCCTGACTCACAGAACCAGATTCTGTCTCAAAAAAAAAAAAAAAAAAAAAATCAAATTAAAAAACCCAAACATGGCCGGGCGAGGTGGCTCATACCTGTAATCCCAGCACTTTGTGAGGCCGATGCAGGCACATCACTTGAGGTCAGGAGTTCAAGACCAGTCTTACCAGCATAGTGAAACCTTGTCTCTACTAGAAATACTAAAATAAGGCGGGCACGATGGTAGGCGCCAGTAATCTCATCTACTCTGGGGAGGCTGAGGAGAGAGAATTGCTTCAACCTGGAAGGTGGAGATTGCAGTGAGTGGAGATCCTGCCACTGCATTCCAGCCTGGGCAACAGAGGGAGACTGCATCTTAAAAACAAAGCAAAACAAAACTCCAAAAATGGTAGACAGTGTTTCACCACACACACACATCAAAAAATATAAAGAAAACCAGGGGTGGTGGCACATGCTCCTAGTCCCAACTACCAGGGAGGATGAGGCAGGATTGCTTGAACCCAGGAATTAAGAAAAAAGTAGATAAGGGCCGGGCGTGGTGGCTCAAGCCTGTAATCCCTGCACTTTGGGAGGCCGAGGCGGGTGGATCACGAGGTCAAGAGATCGAGACCATCCTGGTCAACATGGTGAAACCCCGTCTCTACTAAAAATACAAAAAATTAGCTGGGCATGGTGGCACGTGTCTGTAATCCCAGCTACTCAGGAGGCTGAGGCAGGAGAATTGCCTGAACCCAGGAGGCGGAGGTTACAGTGAGCCGAGATCGCGCCATTGCACTCCAGCCTGGGTAACATGAGTGAAACTCCATCTCAAAAAAAAAAAAAAAAAGAAAAAGAAAAAGAAAAAAGTAGATAAATAATGAAATGAAAATAGTAACTATGTGAGGTGATGGATATGTTAATTAGCTCAATTGTCATGATCATTTCACCATGTATACCTGAATGTAAACATCATAACGGTGAGGTTAGTCACTATGGATCTGCAGAGGCCAGGAGCTGGAGACCAGCCTGGGCAGCATAGTGATACCCCCATCTTTACAAAAACATTTTTTTTTTTTTTTGAAATGAAGTTTCACTCTCGTTACCCAGGCTGGAGTGCAATGGCACAATCTCAGCTCACTGCAACCTCTGCCTCCCGGGTTCAAGGGATTCTTCTGCCTCGGCCTCCTGAGTACCTGGGATTACAGGCATGCACCACCACGTCTAGCTAATTTTGTATTTTTAGTAGCGATGGGGTTTCTCCATGTTGGTCAGGCTGGTCTCGAACTCCCGACCTCAGGTGATCTGCCAGCCTCCGCCTTCCAAAGTGCTGGGATTACAGGTGTGAGCCACAAAAACATCTTTTAAGACTAGCCAAGTGTGGGGGTGCTTTCCTGTAATTCCAGCGACTCAGGAGGCTGAAGCAGAAAGATCTCTTGAGCCCAGGAGGTTGGACTGCAGTGAGCTATGAGTGCTCCATTGCACCTGGCTAAGGTGACACACTGAGTCACCCCGATGGCCAAGAAGCCATGGCACTGCCGCCCTTTCCATGTGATGTGTGCAGTAAGAGGTTTAAGTATTACGGCAAGCTAGTCATCCACAAGAGATCACACACAGGAGAGAGACGCTTGCAGTGTCATCTCTGCAGGAAGCGCTTCATGCAGCGCATAGGTCTCCAACTTCACCAGCGCACCCACACTGGCGAGAAGCCCTGCACGTCTGACGTCTGCCAGAAATGGTTCACCCAGAAGTCCCACGTGAAGGGTCACAAGATAAACCACACAGGGGTGAAGGCTTACAAATGTAAAGTCTGCAAGAAAGTTTTCGCCTACATGGGGATCCTGAAGGAGCACCAGGGCATCCACTCCAGAGAAAAACCCTATAAATGCTCCAAGTGTCTGAGAGCCTTCACATGGCTGAAATTGTTAAGACTCCACCAGAAAAAACATCCAGAAGCCACTTCTCAGTGATTCCATTATCAGGTCTGTCTTCTGCACCAAGAAAATGTGAATGAAGATTTTTCTCCAGTGTTGTCAGATGACATATGACAGGGGCAAGGGTGCCTGACACACAGAGAGGGGGTGCCCGAGATATGAATTCCCAGGATGTTTGAGTAAATAGGTATCCTCCCCAGTGAGTTTTGTTTTCTGTTTCATTATGTCTGTTGTTTTCTTACAGGGTTATTTTGGTTTGTGTTGCTGTTCTTTCAATAAACAATCGTCTTATTAGTTTTCAATATTGTATCACGAAAAACTGAGTGTGCTGATTGGCATGCTGTTACCCACTGTCTTACAATTGTCCAAAGAGAGGGTCCAGATTAAATACACAATGTCTGGGGAAATTTGTGTTTTAAATAAAGAATTTTTTAGTATCAGCATGTTCTAAATTATTCATTTATCTGAAACAGCTTTTTGGGGGTATCCTGTAGAGTTTTCTCTTTTTTGTTTCTTCGTCTATTTATTTATTTATTTTTGAGATAGGGGTCTCTGTCACCCAAGCTGAAATACAGTGGCATGACCACAGCTTACTGTATCTGTGACCTTCCAGGCATGTCTCAAAATGAATGCTGGGAATCCAACATGAACAAAAGGCAGGGAGGTGCTGGGGCTGGCTCTCTGCCGGGCGGGCTCTGCCCACCTGCAGCTGCTCTTTGGGAAGGAGCCTCATCAGGTGTTGCAATTCTGGATTGAATGTCTGGGTTTTTTTCACAACCTTCTATCTCTTTAAAAGAATATGAGGCTGGGCACCGTGGCTCATGCCTGTAATCCCAGCACTTTGAGAGGCCGAGGCAGGTGGATTACCGGAGGTCAGGAGTTCAAGAGCAGCCTGGTCAACATGGTGAAACCCCATATCTACTAAAAAATACAAAAATTAGCGGCTGTAGTGGCAGGCACCTGTAATCCCAGCTATTCAGGAGGCTGAGGCAGGAGAATTGCTTGAACCTGGGAGGCAGAGGTTGCAGTGAGCCGAGATCATGCCGTGGCACTCCAGCCTGGGCAACAAGAGTAAGACTCTGTCTCAAATAAAAAAAAAAAGAAGCTGGACGCGGTGGCTCACACCTGTAATCCCAGCACTTTGGGAGGCTGAGGCGGGTGGATCACGGGGTCAAGAGATCGAGACCATCCTGATCAACATGGTGAAACCCCGTCTCTACTAAAAATACAAAACATTAGCTGGGCGGGGTGGCATGTGCCTGTAATCCCAGCTACTCAGGAGGCTGAGGCAGGAGAATTGCCTGAACCCAGGAGGCGGTGGTTGCGGTGAGCCGAGATTGCGCCATTGCACTCCAGCCTGGGTAACAAGAGTGAAACTCCGTCTCAAAAAAAAAAAAGAAAAGAAAAAGATGGACAGGAACCACTCTTAGGGGCCTGCTAAACCCCCAAGCATGCAAATAAAGGAAAATCTTGAGTTTTTGGAAATTCCAGGCACCTAGCTAGTCTTGAGACATAAACAAGCAATCTGAGAAGCAAGAAGGCAGTACATAGTAGCTGAAAACAATAGCCAAGGATGTTAGAGTCGCGATGTTCGGGTCCCTAGAGAAACTAAAGATGACGCCTTAACACAGGTCCCTGAGGTGATTCTCAGAAACCCAGACCCCCACCTAAAGGAAAACACCATCTGTGGCACACACACCTCACACAGGGCACTGAGGATTGAACTCTAACCACCCTTCTTGGTTCTAAGTTTCTTCCGGAGGGGCCTAGAGAAAGCCACACCCACAGGCCAGAGCCCAACATGCCTTTCTGCTGACCCCACGTTTTCAGACAAAGCCTAACCAATCACAAATCAGAACATCTCTGAAAAGCCTCTGACCTGTTGGCTTCTGCTTGGAGATGATCTGCTTTTTTAGGTCAAAGCAACGTACAATCTCCATGTAATGTTGTATGACTTTGCCTGTCACCTCTGCCTCTTCATCTTTATAAGTCCTTAATAAAGGCTGGGCACGGTGGCTCAAGCCTGTAATCCCAGCACTTTGGGAGGCCAAGGTGGGTGGATCACGAGGTCAGGAGATCAAGACCATCCTGGCCAACATGGTGAAACCCCGTCTCTACCAAAAATATAAAAATTAGCTGGGTGTGGTGGCACGTGCCTGTAATCCCAGGTACTCAGGAGCCTGAGGCAGGAGAATTGCTTGAACCTGGGAGGTAGAGGTTGCAGTCAGTCCAGATCCCTTCACTGCACTCCAGCCTGGCAACAGAGCAAGACTGTCTCAAAAAAACAAAACGAAACAAAAAAACAACCTCCCCCACACAAACCAACCAACCAACAACAACAAACCCTTACTCATAAGCCATTGTGGAGGGTGTTCAGGTCTTAAACATTAGCTGCCCGACTCTCCTTGCTTGTGCCTTGCAAATAAAATCTTCCTTCCTCTCACTGTAAACGCTTCATGTGGGTGTTTGGCCTGAGTGCACTAAGCTAGCAGAGCCCAGTCTGTTTGCTTGGTGTTGGGATGATTTTCCATGTCGACCTCACCTTGTTCTGCATTTTCTTTGAACCACAGCTTTTTTTTTCTGGGAAGCCAGAAAGCCAGAAACAACTCCAGCCACGTTGACCCGCCCAGCCTCCCAGACCCCAGGGGTCATGCCAGGGGAGTTGGTCTCTTCCCCCTTCTTCCCATGGCTGTGCCATGGCCTCCTTCCCCACCTCCTGTCCCATCAGCAAGGTCAGAGTCTGAAAAGCCACCACGTGGGCCCCGTTGGCTGGTGCAGATTTGGCTCCAGCTTGGGTAGGTCAAGCAATGCTGGGTTATTGCTTCTCTGAAAGTGAAGGCACCTTCTAAATTGAAGTCACAGCCATCCCTACCACTGGGCTTTTTTGAGGTTGCAGTGGGTATCTTGCTTTCAGGGCTATCTGTCATTCAGGGCATCAGGTAAATCAAGCTCTTGGCTCAGAGCACGTAGGCGGCTGAGGAGCAGCAGTGTGAAGGCCCCCCAGTGCCAGGTGCACCCTAAGCCATGAGGGGCAGTCCCTGGAGTGGTGCACGCGGCCAGCTATAGCAGGAGGAACCCACGTCCAGGGTCGGGGGGAGCCAGCAGTGGAGTCTACCTTTTGTAGACTGGGAAGGGAGGTGCATGATCCTGCCATGGAAATGAACTCACTGATGTCCATGAGAGGACAGGAATTGGAGTGACCAGGCAGTCAGAAAACTGACCTGCCAGACTCAGCCACACATTAGATCACCTGAGGAGTTTTATAAACTGTCAACACAGATGCCACATCCCACACCAATCATATCATTACCTCAGGGTTGGACTGCTGACATTGCTTTTTAAAAAAATCTTCAAGGCTGGGATCATACCTGTAATCTCAGCACTTTGGGAGGCTGAAGAGGGCAGATCACGAGGTCAGGCGATCAAGACCTTCCTGGCTAACATGGTGAAACCCCGTCTCTACAAAAAATACAAAAAATTAGCCGGGCGTGGTGGCACACACCTGTAGTCACAGCTACTCGGGAGGCTGAGGCAGGAGAATCACTTGAACCCGGGAGGTGCAGGTTGTAGTGAGCAGAGGTCACACCACTGCACTCCAGCCTGGGCTACAGAGTGAGACTTCGTCTCAAAAAAACAATAAAAACAATTAAAAACTCCTCAAGTGACTCGAACATGTAGCCAAATTAGAAAATGAAGGTCTAAAGAAACACTGGATGTCGTTCATGGATCATAGAGCACCATGATTTAAATTAAGTGGGCAGGCTGTATCAGCAAACCATTTTCTGGGTCTGGCGAAGGATACTGAACACAGTCATCTAAATGGAGAACTACTACCTACCCCTTCATCCACTTGTTGAATTAAACAGGAGTCTGCGTACATGTGACGGTGGATTCAGACTTCTACCTCAGGGAATCTTTCTCCTAAAGGCACCGAGGTGAGGCAGGATAGGTAGTTCAGAAGGTTACCATGTCCTCTAAACACAACAGCTGTGGTGACCGTACAGTCAAAACAATAAGCCCCAGCCTTCACTTCCTAATTGAGTTCATTCAAGCAAAGCCATCTACAAAAGGGAGTTTTCCCTGTAAAGAGCATGAGCACTTTGATTTGACCTGTTCACAAACTGACCCTTTGCTCGTTATAATAGTAAAAAACACACCCCTGGGTGGAGACTTAAGATGCTAAAGACATGTGCACAGTTACTGCCTGTGTGCACCCAGAGGACTACCCAGAATACGCTTACTAGTAACTCCTCTTCCCACCCCTTTAGGTGTAATCATCCAACACCCCCATAAAGGGAGTCTCCCTGGAGCGGGTCTTTGCCATCTCATGCTTAGGTGCAGCCCGGTCTGAATCCTCTCTCTCAGGGTGTCCTGTCTATTTTACACTTAACTTTCAAAATCTTATATTTCTGTGCAATCAATTACTCTATGCTGCATCTCTTTTGCTGTGTGTCTCTTGATTAAATTCCTTTAAATTAGATGACAAGATCCAAAGTCTCACAGAAGTGGACTTTAATAAATGAGTTTAGCCTTTTCGGGAAGTGACCTTTCCAGACCTCTGTAAATTGCTGGACTCTGACTGTGAGCTCAACCAGCCATCCATAAAATGCCCTCCAAGAAGAGCATCACCCAACATGCAGATTCTCAGGTGATCCCAAGCAAGCAAAATCTGAGAAACTGTCACCAAGAGGAGCCTAGGGAGACGTGACAACTGAAGGCAATGTGGCATCCTGGATGGGGAGGAAGGAGGAGAAGGGCACTGAGTAAACACGAAGGAGGTCTCAATAAGGTAGGGGCCTTAGTTTACAGCAATGTATCCAGTCAGTTCATCGCTTGTGGCAAACGTGCCATACTAACGAACCATGTTAACAATAGGAGAGGCTAGTCACGGTGGCTCATGCCTGTAATCCCAGCACTTTGGGAGGCCAAGGTGGGGGCATCACGAAGTCAGGAGTTCAAGACCAGCCTGGCCAATATGGTGAAAACCCCTCTCTACTACAAATACAAAAATTAGCTGGGTGTGGTGTGTACATGTAGTCCCAGCTACTCAGGAGGCTGAGGCAGGGGAATCCCTTGAACCTGGGAAGCAAAGGATACAGTGAGCAGAGACTGTACCACTGCACTCCAGCCTGGGAGACAGAGTGAGACTCTGTCTCAAAAAAAAAAAAAAAAAAAAAAAAAAAAAAAAAAAGAAATTCTTTCCCTGTACTGTCTGTCCCTGGTTACACCGCCCAGTCCTCCCCTGGGAACCTCAGCCTGGAAGACCCGAACCTGTGTAACTTTGAACCCACCTGCTGCCTCTACCCGGA